CAAACAAACAAATTTATTTATATTCTAAGCGTATGTAATATGTATATGCACATATATTTGTATGTAAAAGAGCGGGATCCTGCCCTGTCAACGAAAATTAAAATTAAGCATTACGTGTTAATATAACAATAACCACATTACAATCAATTATAATAGTATTTATTAAATATGTATGTATGTAGGCATGTGTATGCTCCCTCACTTATGCTAATCAGCGCATAAAACACTTAAGAAAAATTAAAATAACAACAACGTGTTTTACGTTTAACTAAAATCGAGTGGCGACGTGGCGCTGCTCAGCACATCAGCAGGCAATATGCAACAGTGCGCGCTTGGCTGTTGGCGCAGTATTGCATTTCAGTGTTAACACGCCGGAAGTGACCTGCACTTAGCAAGCTTTATAAAAATTTCATAATTTTTTTTATTAATAGTTGGTGATAACTGTGCTCTCTTTGACTCTTGTTTTGAGTGTTTTCACAATTTTTTTTGTCAACTGTTTTTTGCACGCTTACATTTGCACCATATAACTTAGTTACTTAATTATATGTGTACGTATAACGTTTTTTGTATCTGTATTATGCATTTTTTGCTGTTAAAAATCTATGATTTTGCGCATTTTGTGCAATACTATTGTCATTCATTAAAACAGTATAAAAGTGTTGAACAAAAAATGTAAAGTAATACAAAGATTCTGTTTCTGCTTTCAACACATATGAGAAAATTCTGTTACTGCTTTTAGGCAAATTCAAATTTCTGTTTCTGTTTGCAAACAAAAAAGAAAATTCTGTTTTTGCTTTAAAGCAAATAAAAACAAAATCTGTTTCTGTTTTCAAGCAAAATAGTAAACATACAGTTTTGCTGTAGTAAAATGTGTCAAAACTGCCAGCTGCTCGTCTCAAACGTACATGCAGTTTTCTGTGCAAATTTTACATATCATAAAATTATTACTTTTATACACATAAATTACTTTGCCTTTAGTTCTAAATGTTTTCATTTGCATTTTCACTTTGAATTTGTTTTTTGGTAATTTTGTTTTTTCGAACTTCTACATATACACATGTAATTATGCTTAAAACGCCATTCAACTTAAAAGTATGCGAAGACTTATATGTGGTGGAAAGGAAGTGTGGAAGCTACAAATTCAACACACCGCCCAACAGGTGGGTGGTTTCTCATTTTCATTTTCAATTTAAATTTCAATGCAATATTTAATTTCATTTCACTATTATTCTTAACATTATTATTTTGCTTTTGCTTTTGTCTCATAAACAGTATATTAAACTACTCACATTTGGTTTCGGTTCGAATATTTTATAGTATAGTACAGTATTTTCACTTTTACAAATTAGCCTTCTAATTTATATATATATATATATATTTATATTTAAATAATTAAAAAATGTTGAATTATAAGTTTTCATGTTTCTTTTAGCTAGCAAGTTACACATTAGCCTTCCTAGACTCTTGCATAGCTTGCATTTTATTATATTTTGCACAGTACTAGTGATTTTAAGTTTTTATAGTCTAAAAATAAATATTTTCTCTGCCATTCCCTAGTAAATTCGAGTTCAACACTTTAGCTTTTTAGTCTTGCTTTTTCTTTTAGCGGGAAAATTTCATATTTTTTATATATTATTTTATATATAAATTACCTTTTGCTGTCACAAATACACCCGCGTGACTTTCAATTACTTTACAGCTRTAGTGTTGCAGTGTTTGTGTCTGCGTGTGTATGTGTTTAGGATGACTGTAATGCAATTATTTTGCAAAACTCGGCTCAATGTATGACACATAATGAGTTTGTAGCACTTATTTTCATAGGTATATCTAGAAGTTTTGATTTGAGTTTCGATTTGCACTATTGGAGAAAAAAAATTATTTAAATAATAAAATGGCTGCTTGCTAATCATTATTTCTTTTAAGGTATAGAGTTATAGCATATTACTGCGGTTTACATATTATATAGCTGGTATTACACGAAAAAATTTTTTTCTAAAAAAAAATCTTTAAAAAATAAATTAAAATTGAAATAAAATAAAAAAATACAAATAATTGCGTTTTTTGGCTACAAATATGGCATAAATCACGTTTTGCTTTAAAACCAAACACTTTGAAGTTTTCAAAAATGTCGAAAATGATATTTAAAACAGTTTTTGAAATGAACAAATAATTGGTTTTATTTGCATCTAAATTTTTATCATAAATTAAAAAAAAAATTTAAACTTTCAAAAAATTTCGAAAATTATATTTCAAGAGTTTTTGAAATAATGACTAATTTTAGGCGAAGTTTTGAAGTTTCAAAAATGTCGAAAATAATATTTAAAATAGTTTTTAAATTAATCAAAAAATAAAAAAAAAGTGAAAATATTTAGAAGTTTTCCAAAATTTCGAAAATATTAAAAAGTTTTTTCAAATAAACAATTTATTGATTTTAGATRAAAATAGTTACTTTTAAAAAAACTTTTGAAATTTTCAAAAATTTCTAAAATAATATTTAAAATAGTTTTTGAAATACACTATTAATTGTTTTTAGACACAAATATGTAATTACACTTGTTCAAAATATAAAAAAAAAAACTTTTGTAGCTTTCAAAAAAGTCCAAAATAATATTTAAAGTAGTTTTTGAAATAAATAATTAAAAGTTTAAAAAAAGTTTGAAATTTTAAAAAATGTCGAAAATGATATCTAAAACTTCTGAACTAGAACAATAGATTTTAGACGCAATTTTGAAACACTAAATAAATTACGATTTTTAATTTACAGTTTTTGAAAAATATCGATACCTAAACCTCGGTATTTTAAGTAAATATGAAAAATCATATATTCAAAAATTATATTTAAGTTTTTTTTCTAACATAAATGTCTATCGATTTTTAAATTAAAATGTGAAGTTTATCGCTGTATGTTTTGCGTATAAATAGTTTTGACAGCAGGCGCTAATTTTAAGAAATATTTTAACTTAAACACAAATTAGGAAGTTTATTAAAACAACAAAAAAAACCTATATTTTCTCTTAATTTAATTATTTGAAAATCTTTTTTTTCTTTTTAAATAAAAAACAAGTACATATTTAAATATTTAAACAATAAGAGTTTTGTAACCTAAAAAAAAACAGGAAAAATGTTATTTAAGTTTTAAGAAAATATGTTGAATTTTTCTGAAGTCAAGAATTCTAAATTTTTTCAAAAAATGTAACTAAAAACTATAGAAAATGTAAGAAACAAGAAATATCATAAAATAAATAAAATATTTGAATAAGAATTGTAAATAAAATGACACACTTTAGATTATACCAATTTTTTGCACGCAAAAAAAAAATATTTTTTCTTTTAAAGCATTTCAGTATTTTGTATTTCTGTAATTCTTCAAATTCAATTCGTTATAAATTTCAATGTATAGCATTCAATTTTCATTTTCACTTTATAAATAACAATTAAAATTAAATAAAATACAAAAATAAGTAAAAAATAATTAAAATATAAAAATTACWTTTTTGTAAMATTAAGAGTTCATAAATTAAAWAAAAAACAACTTGAAAAAATATATAAAAATGTGCATTCCAAAACGCATTTTGTGTATAAAATACACTTCATAATTATTTTATAATTAATTCCAGCATTCTTTGCAACCTTGTGCGCAGCATGCTTCATTCATAGCTCAGTTGCGCAAGTATAATGTTGAAATTGTTTTCGAACAATTTTCTAACGACACATATTTTATGCTACATATTATCCATTTTTCTATTTTTTAAAATTTTTTGCTATTTTTGCATTTGCTGTAAAGTATGTAGTATTATATAGGCTTGCGTCAAGTGGTTTTAAAAGAGTCAGTAGGTTTCGCAGTCAAGTCATTTATCGCAACTTCAGCCATTTTGTGAGTAAATATTTTTATTTGAATTTTTTGAAATAATATAAAATGTTTATACGTTTGTGTGCGTGCAAGTTATGAGTTCGAAATTAAAATCGCAACATACGTGCGTGCGTCAGTTATAACGCTTTGGATGTGTTCAGCCGCTATTAAGTTAATATTTTCCATTTTCAGCATGAAAAACTTTTAAAATTTTTTTGTTTTTGTTTTTGTTTTGAATTACAACCTTGCGTTTCGTCTTGTGTTTATTTGTTATGCATTTCTAGTTATTTTCGCTTATGTGTCCAGCAATGCTTTTGTTAAATTATGTTTGTTTCTGTAGTTGAAAAAGTAGCTACCATTTTGTCTTAACTGTATATTTTCAAAATTGTTCTAATTACAAATGAATGAAAATGAAATGCTGCAGTGGTTTTGAAAATTTGAAACTATTTCGAAAATCATTTTTTTGTGTAAAAATTTTTGTTAATTTTTTTGTGAACATTTTTGAAAACATTTTTTTTTTACTGAAAATTTTTGCTAAATCATTTTTGTCTTTGTAAAAATTTCCGCATATAAATGTGTTCAATGAAATTATATATAAGTATGTGGTATGTTTGCTTGTAAACATGCGCGTGCGTCTTTGTAGTAGTTGCATTTGGTTGTCATACATTTGTGCTGAGTGTCTTGTGTATGTATGTTTATGTGTGTTTAAGTGCTTTTGCACGCCTTGCACTGTGTGTTTCATTGTTTTTTATTGCTTTTTGGCAATTTCTTTCAAAGTTTTAAAGTAAAATTATCCATTTGCTTCACGTATTTATCGTTATATGTATGCATATGTTGATTTTTATACTTTTGTATTTTTTCTTCTTCGCTTCTCTTTTTTGTCTTGGCTATGCTACTATGAAATTTCTAAATTTATATTGTATGTATGTATGCTTTCATTGCTTCCTCCCTATGTCTTCTTTTTTCAACATTTCGTCCTTCAACCAGCTCGTTTGTTTTGTTTTTGCTTTAGTGTTTTTGTGTATTTTTTTCTTTGCAAAAAATTGCATTTTTTATAAATTTTAAATTATATTTTTTTTTGGTTTTTTTTTTGTATTTTTTGGCATTTTTATTTTAGTTATTTATTTCACTAGCTGCTTGTAGTTGGTACTAATACTAACGTATTAGCAAAAAATTTTGCGCCTTTTCGGTGATTTTCTTACATAGTCCCGCTACTCTCCGTCACATTCCACCGTGATGGCTTTGATTCTCACTCCCCGACGGCTTGTGCTCACCCGCTGCCGTCGTCACTGTTGCTGCTTCCGCTTTGTTATGCTCACTCTCATCACACTCTTCCAGTTCGGCTAGATTCTCTTGATCGGACTCTTCAAGTGTTACCTGCAGCAGAACGTTATGTGAATTAATACGAGTTTACAGTTAAGGCGGCGATTTGCAGCCACGCAGAGGCGTAGCTATTTCATATGCACTTTGCATGAAGTAATGAGACAATTTTCAATATTTTCCTATTTTCTAGTTTGGTTTTTAAATATTTTGTTTAAATGTTTGTATGTTTGCATATGAAATGCTGCAACTCTGCGCGGCTGTCAATCGCATTTTGTTTCAATGAGTAACGCACTACTGTTTCTATCTGCGGCCATTGTTGTGTTAGTGTGACTACTTGTATATTATTTTTCTACAATTTTTTTCTAGTTATTTGCTCAGCAACTCACTTGAAATCGTATCTTATCGTCGGAGGGTTGATCGTCGGCCGCCGATGGTGGTGGTGATGGTGGTATCATGCTCTGATAATAGTCTCTATTCTCTTCAAGCGTATCAAGTATATCCTGTGCATCGGGATGCACCAGATCGGCCCATGTCTCCCACAATGGATGCACAATATAATCGATAAATCCGACCTGCGATTTTTCGATTGTGGCATTATGACGATCACACATGGGACTAATGTCCATGCCCGATTCACGTTCTTTATCGCCCTGCAAAAAGAACTCCTCCATAAGTAGGCTGACCCAGCGTTTGTACAATGGCAACGGTTTGGTTGGATTACTTAAATCGGCACAATGTACCAGATTTTCGAGCACCTGAGAATGGGAGCGCGCGAAAAAAACATATTAGTAAATGTATGTCTAAACTTTACACTGTCGAATATATACTACATATAATATACATATTTAAGGGTCGTAATACAACTGTTTGTGTATACTTGAAAAAAAACATCAAATGCTTCGATATAATCAAATAAGGAAATAAATAATTTTAACAAATAAATCTGCATACCTAAAGTTGTTAAATAGTAATATTCAGTTACTCTTTGAATTTATATTAGTTGTATCTTACCTGTATGCGATCGGTGTAGTTGTCCAGCAATAGCACACCGGAGCCGGCGACCTTTTTCGTCTCGACCATAGTCTTTAAATCGGCCAGCAAGCTCATGTGTTTTGACATGTCTGTTGAGAGGACAATATCGATAACCATCTTCCTTAATGTTTGGCGTTGTTTCCTAAAACGAATCGACAGCAATATTAGTTTCATATTCATGTGCTTTATATTATTTTGTAAGGAGGAATACCGAGATAAAATTCCACACTTGATTTGAGAAAGGTTTGAAATTATAATAATAGGTATATTATTAAATCATACTTACTTTTGCATATTACAGAATATATCACATCCTTGATTTTGTAATAATTTAAAGGCAACTGCTAAATGATGATTTTCCAAAACAGATTCGTCATTATACATTAAGGCTAATTCGGAGCCTAGAAGAATAAAAATAATATATAATAATATTGTTAAATTGTATGTATTTATAACAAGAAAAAACGATAATTTCGGTTGAACCGAAGCTGTAAAACGTTTCGCAAATAAAAAAATCCTTCCAACAACTTGATTTTGATCGGGCAGCTTTTATGGCAGCTACATGCTGTAGTGACTCGATATCACCGTTTTCGTTAAATAAAGAGATTCTTGGAAAAAACACAACAACTGAGGGACTAGTTCATGTAGCTCGTCAAGCTGATCATTTATATACATATATTTATATAAAAAATAATTTTTCTAGGTGCTGTCTTTATGGCAAACATAATATACTCTGTTCAGAGTATAAAAACGGCGGTCCATTGGGTATTTTCTATTAGTGTTTTTGTTAACTGAGTTTCAGAGTCAAAAAAGTATGCAGTATAGTATGTATATGAGGTCCAAAACCTCGTATCGCATATCGGCCATAAGTGTCTTGGGAAGCAGCGAAGCAGTGGAAAGCAACTTCACTTCTACTGGGTGCCAGGCCACAAAGGCATCGAGGGCAATAAAATAGTCGATGAGATTGCCAAGTATGATATGCGACTCGATGGAAGAGACTGCAGGAACATGATGGGAATATTAACTGGTCACTGTCTGGTTGCGATGCACGCCCGCAGTATGGGGCTGACAGATCGAGCGGATTGTAGGAAATGTCTAGAACAAGGCATCAGGAAAACAATGGAACATCTTTTGTGCACTTGTCGCGCATTGGCAAGACTACATTGTATGCGTCTGGTGTGCCTACGTTATGATACACTGGACTGCGTCAACTTAGCTGAACTTAGAAACTGAACTGCTTCTGGTATCGGAGAGTACCAAACTGGTCTATGCGTGGCTTATGGGTATATCAGATTAACCTAACCTATAGGAGGTTTAAATAACTGTATAACTTTATGATAAGGTCGGCAGCATTGTTAACGTTTCCAGACTATTAAGGTAGCTCTTAGTTAAGAAAGATTATGTTAGAAAAGGTATCCAATTCCTTTCAAGAAAGCTCACTTTCAACATAGAAGAAAAAGATCTTCGAGAAGTCTATGTATCCATAAAGTTTCTGCATTATGGATTATATAGTAAATCTTTTACTAGATACTGAGATCGAAATAGATACATAATAAAATGATTTTGGAAAAATTACTGTCTTAGACTACCGAGGAACTTGAAGTTAGGAACCAAAAACAGTCGTTATAACTTTAGAAAACTAAGGTAATAATTGACAGCCATTGCTGGAACTATATAGCATACAAAAATAATATTACCTTGCTATGCTTTAACTCATCCTAACTAAATGATTGGAATAACTGCGGTCTTACCCTCCACACTTATACATAGTAATAATATATGATCATACTACCGTGTTAAACTTACTTGAATTAACTAAAAATTGATTCGTTAAACCGGGATGATCTACATCGTGTATACAAGCAGCAAACAATGCTCCGCCCACTTCCAACGATGTGAATACGCCCTCCAGCGCCGGTGTATTGAGCAGTACATTTGTACTTTGTGTCACATCAGCCGCATGCAGTGAATTGTGAAACGGATTGTCTTTAACATAATGATCCTCCAGAGTAGTCATAAAATTAATAAAAGTTTTCGGTGGTATCATAAGACTGGTCAGTAGTTCTCTACTCTGTAAAGGCATAAAAAAAAATAAACAAACAGTATAAATATTTATTTTTTATATTTTTTTTCTTAGTAAAAAACTTAAGATACCTGAAATATGGTGTATGCCACACAGGTGAGTGGACGATTGGCGCTCAGATCGCCAATTTTGAAAATGTCAATGCCCCAGGTGTCGACGTCGCCGAGCAGTGTGCCGAGCGCATTCTCGTGCACCGTTTCCACGCCGAATGTGGGCAGACGTTCGCCGGTGAAAGAGTTCGTATGGGAGAGTGGTCGTTTCACGCCCGATATCTGTGACATTGGCGGACCACGTGGCGAACGGGAGCGCTGATGCTGTGTAAGCATATTGTGTTGGTCGGGGTTGTCGTCGCCGCGCATCGATGGCAGGTCCAATTCTTGTTGCTTGTCTGTAATGAAAATTCGAATTTTTAAATTAGTTTTATTACACTTTATAACAAATACCATAGCTATATTGAAGTAGTGTTTAAAAACGTTTTTAGAACAAAAATATTCGTTTATCGGTTAACATTCCTGTTAAAATACCAGTTACGTTTCGGTTAGGTCGAGTCGGTTTTCTTATTTTCCGCATCTGTAAGCTCATGTAAGTATAAATATGTCAAATTTCATGCATAAAATTCACTTCATTCGTACATTTTGCTTTCGCTGCGCATAATTCTTTCAATTCTCGGAAAATTTCACTTCATAAAAAATGTATAGGTACATACATATATCTTCATTGTTATGTAAATCCATACCCACTTGAAAATGTATAGTTGTGTATGTGTGTGTGTTTCATATTGGATGTGATTTTTCTTCTCGTTACACAGCTATTTACAGTAAACATTTTTATATATTTTCTTTAGCATGCTTGCTTTTGACGGTTGAAAGATTTCTTATTGACGTTTGAATTTTGTGTAAAAATGCTTGAGATTATTTAACATATTTTAAAATGCAAATAATATTTCCTGAAGGCTTTAGCCACTCACTTATTTATATGTATATGTACATGTAATTTAATGTATGTAAGCTTGGCGGGGGTGTGAATAAGCTATAAAGCAGAGGAAGCAATATGAATTTCGTGGTAGGTGCTCAGAGTTGAGAGGAAATTGCATTAAAATCTATCAAATTTCACTTCACCACCAACGGCGGTTTTCCCAAGAAGAATCGATACTGGCTGCCGCTATAAATCGTAATTATGTTTTTCTTGGAAGATTTAAGCTTGAGGTTCACACAAAGACATGCTAAATTCACATGGTGTGAAGCAAAGTAATGTCACACGTTTTATTTTGTGACAGATGAAAGCATTTTCCGCAAAATTTGGTGGTATGCTGGCGAGTTGATAGTGCTTGTACGCTTATGTTATGAAGAATCAAGTTGATTTATTGTACATCTCTAAGTTATAAAGTTCCGTCTTGGTATGACTTTTTCGCAAGATCTTCGGCAAATCCTTTAAAATTCTGTTGCAACTTTCTAGGATCAAAAATGAGAAATACAAGGGGCATTAGAATCGATGGAATGTGCTCAAAAGCTATCTCTTTGACCGTACTCGTTTCCTCCACATACACATTTACATGTTTGAATAATTACCGCAACAGCCACAAATGTTAACAATATATAATTATATATACACATACATATACTACATCAAGAGTTGCACATAGTACTAAGGAGACGCAAATTTCCAACCAATACGCTGGTGTCGATGAGAGCTCAAATAATGAGTTCATTCAGCTGCCACAAATGGTGTTTCCAAACGCACATTTATATTTGCGTACATATGTACATATATACAAAATGTGAATTATATGTATGTGTGTGTAAGCAAGCGATGCTGCAAATATGCTTTGATGTGACTATATGCATATTTGTTGAGTTAAGTGAAATATGCCAACATATTAGAGGCACTTATGCATGTAAATGAAATTTGCCTCAAAGCACAAGCAATACAAATGCATATGCACATACATACATATGCATGTTTATATCTACATACATATATTATACGAACGTCTTCAAGTATGTCTATTAAATTTTTTTATATGTATTTGATAAGTATATAATATGTTTACGTATAAACATTTGTCCCGAAGGGAATTGTCGGATTTGCTAAAAAGCAAACTAAGCGCTTGTTTTGAGCGAAAATATTGAAAATACAGACCGCTGAGTGAAATCTGCTAGGCAGTTGAAAGTTATGGGACTCATTTGACCTCTGGCGCAGAAAATTGGTAGCTTGACAAATTGGCAAAGCGAGACTTTAAGCAGTTGCTGGTGGGATAAGTAAGTATACACGTGCGCCTATGTGTAAACTTGTGCGTCTTGTGAGAGCGTAAAAGAGTCATTAGGGGATAGGAATATATGAGTCCCAAATATATCTTTTGTTTATTAATTTTGGTATTTTATTCAGCTAAATTGTTTAAATGGCTCATTTATTGTGAATTTGGTTTAGATCTTAGCCATTTTTAGTGATTTCCAAAGTAGATTTACCATAATAAAGAAAATATTAATAAATTAAATAAATATAATAAATTCATCTTGTCAAATAATAATAATAGTAATAATAAAAGTTTTTCATACAAGAACTTAATTTTGATGATTTAGTTTGTATGGCTCTTATATGCTTAGCGGTCCAATATATAAACAGCCACACGAATAAACCGCATGGCTCAGCCTGTCATCCTGATCATTTATAAATATTTTTTTAAAGCCTCCGATGCATAATTTTGGGTGTTACGAACTTCGTGGTAAACTTAATATATCCAGTCAGGCTATAAAAAGGCTATATACATAAAAAAGGTGTTGTTATTGGCTGATTTGGTTGATTTCTTTAACATGAACAAAAACAAACACCTTTAAAGATTTGATTATTTATCGAAAAACTTTGCTCTTAAGCTTTAATTTTGTAGTGATCTCATTCCTTAGCACTACGAAATTGGTTCACTTAGTTCAAATATATTGGCGTGTGCACTCGCTGTTCCACTTGATCGCGCTTTCCATTTTGCATAATAGAATTTTCCATGCAGCAACAGTTTTTCGCTGTCATTAGCTTCAGCGCATTTTAAACACCTGCTACAATAATTTGCCACCTTCTTTTATTATTTATTTATTCACGTCTCTTATTCATCGAGCAACTTGATGTTCGAGCATTGTTGTGGTTCTGGTCGGCGCGAGTTTCAGGCTAATTACAGTTGGCGTGTGACTTCAAAACTTTTTAATAACCGAATTTTAACCTTTTACGGCTTAATATTATTCTCTCTACTTTGTGCTTTGTTGTGAGACAGTTGCAAGTTATATATTTTTTCTCACTACTGCTGTTATGCTGACACCATTTCGGAAACTCATTGTTACACTAATCTTATTTTATGTAGACAACACTATTTGCTTAATGAAAATTGTGTTTTCTTCTAAGTTGCCTCTTCACATACGTTTTTGGTTGCATGCTTTTAGACATGTTATGTGTAAATCTGTAGCGGTATAAGTGAACTAACTTAGTACACCGTCAATTTCCAAGATATTTAGTCAGACACCTCTATCTAAATTTACTACTTTACTTGTATTGCTTTAATAGCTCCGTACAAGTTTTAAGTTAAGTTTCTAGTACGTTAGTGTTTGACCTTGTAAAGGAAAGTAAGGCTCAGCTAGATTATACACATACTGTATTATTTATAATATTATAAATCTTTGTAAGCGATATTTTACTAAATGATTTTTCCCCATGTTGATTTTTTTATATTTGCGTCGAAAGGTAGGCAATATTTTAGTATAAATTTTGTTTTATATTAAATGTGAAACGATGAGGCGAGAAACTCACAACTTCACTCGTTATAATGTGAGAAGCGGTGCTATGGAAAGAATTTTGTAAAACTAGAGGTTATGAAAAACTGTTTGTAATATTTATACTATCATAGAGGAAATATATGAAATATCATATCAATTAATATCTAGACTAAATAAAATGTTTCCAGTGTGATTTAAATTTAGTTGAGAGAAAAAGATAAGCCTCTAACATCGCTTAGTTTTTGTTTCAACTTCCAAACAATTGTATCACTAACCTATTGAAAACCCTCATAACTAAACATTTTTATTAAGCCCTTGAAAACAATTACATCCGTCACATTAAAAAAATGTATCATTCCAGATTACCAGATTGCAGCGAAGTCGCACACCAATAGCGGTAACATTGATATGATCAAGTTCACTTCAAGAACTCGAGACTGAAGTAAACTTTATTTACTAGTGTATAGTGTTCAAAGAGGCTTTTGAGTTTAGCATAGATTTTGGTGGAAAAACTAAAAATTTTTTGGAAATGCATCACCGCCTTCTTACGTATATTGAAAACCAAAGAAATTATTTTAAAAATTTAAATTGTTTTCTTATCATATTTAAAGAAAAAAAGCAAATATTTAGCTTCTAGGCGATAAAAACCTATTTTTGCATTTAGAATTGTCGAATATTTTCGCCACGTAAAATATATACCAAGTAGCGAGGAATGAAGGGGCTGATCTCGTCCGCTCCGCAACATGACAACAACTTCAAGGTATACACCATGCCATGTTGCTAATGGATGGTTGCAAAACTAAAAGGTTTAAATAAATGAAAATTGTAAGCTCAAGAAGCACTTGTATTGCAAGTTCTAGCTTCTTATGCGCATTTCGAATTGCCAGTTCTGCTAGTGCTGCGACATGGAGCTTGAAACTCTAGAAAACCTTCGAATGGACTGCAGTATGTAGGAGCAGGATAAAGGCTCATGGATACATGTTTACAAATATGAAATATGATAGTAATGAAATACAGAACATTGTATATCTAATATAATTCCAAGCAGGAAAAATAGAGATATCTAAATTCAAGGGAAAGGAGAGTCAAAAACTCTCACGATTTATAGTTTTTTGGAAAAATCTATTGAAAAAATTAACTTCGGAAGTAAATTATTATTATAAAGTGATTTATTGCCTGTTTTGGTATATAATTTGGTATAGCCGTATCTTATGTGAATTATTTCATGAGATGTCCACCATGAAGTTGGTAATAAGAGATATTGATAAGAGCAATATATTCGGGATGAGTTGATTGATTGAAATATATGAAATGAGTTTTCTCAATTTTTCAGAGTTGCGACATTTCGAGATATTATATAAGTGATCGAAGCTGTTTTTCAAGGTTGCTTAGCTGCTGATAAAATATATTATGTAATTATAAATTTACTCGATTATTGCCAACAAAACTAAGTGATTTTCAAACAACTCTCGCTAATGCTTTTCACTCAATACAACGTAAACAAAGCCAAGCTTATGACATTGTTCATAGATAATAAAAAAACCTGATTAAAAAAAAAAATTCATATTCTTACTTCCGCGCCACGCATCTGCTTCATAATCTAATTTAAAGCATTTGTGCTTTCAATGCAATAGCTTTCAACTTTCTTCCTCCACATCAATTTGTGTTCACTCCCTGCATATTTCTGGGCTTATTAAATTCTCGTTGATGCACCAATTCCGCAGACTTTGTTTGCTAAAAGACCGCTGCTGTAGCGAAATATTATGTAACCACTTTATTTTTCCTACTTTTCTACGCATTCACAAAATGGAAAATTTGAAATTCTGCGCGAAATTGGTTTGCGCGCCTGAGTGTATGCAACGGCAGAGTAAGAGTTAAACTTAAAACGTTTCACATACATTGTTGTTGCACGTAGCAAATACCGACAATGGCGGGCGGGCGTACAAATTCGGCCAAATGCCACAGTTAGCGACTGTGATAGTCGTATACACTCCTTTTTTGTGTATATACATTAGGGTGGCTGAAAAAAATTTTTTTTTTGCTTTGCAAACTGAAAAATTGATTTATACCCCTAAGAAAGGCTCATCAAGTATTAGATTTTAGTTGTAACGGGTGGGTTCACCGCCTAACGCTTTTCTAATTTTTTCTTAATATCAATTAGAAAAATTTACTTCTAACATGCAACTTTTTTTGACGCACCCTTATACACATATACCATATATGAGTATGTCTAGCAATTCACTCAAGTGCCCGCGTACCTAGTGGCTAACCTAAGCTGTGTATTTAGTTTAGTTAGTCAAATCGTCAAATGTGCGCTTGAACGCTCGCCGACTTCGTGTGCAGATTGCTTTACACGCCAAGTGGCGATTTTTCGCGTTCCCTTTGAGTGTGTGTATTTGTGTGTGTGAGTTGTACGTCTGCCGACTGGTACTTAATTTAAATTTTAAATTAAAAATAACTCATGGTGCGCAGAAAATCTAACTCGTTATGAAATACGAAAAATAGAAACAAGGAAAATGCATAAAATTGGATCTCTCGCAAAAGCATCAAGTGAGATTTTATTACACTTTTATTGCCATTTCTACTTTGGCTCACGGTGTGCCGGCGTTGATTGAGTAACTAAGCTGGCGACGTCAATTCGTGAGTGGCAGGCCGTTCGCTGGCTATGGCTTTCGTTTTGAATGCCCGTATAGTTGTGATTAAAATTCTTACTTTGAGAATGCAAGAAATTATGAATTGCGTCGCAAAACGACAAACACCATGGCAGTGATCCTGCTTTTGAGCAATTGTGGGCATGACAGCTGATTTGTGCGCGCAATTTACAATTTCGTATATTTAGTCAATTTTACACGAATGCAACTTATATAATATAGGATTTGAAAGTGTTGCCAAGTAAGCGGCAAGGTGGGGTGGCAGCAAGTTCTATATATTCGCGTTGTTTTAATATTTGTAAAGTAGGAGTAATAAATTTATCGAAATTCCTGCGACCATCATTGATGGTTCAATAAATTTATTGTGAAAATTTGAGGACTATTGGAAATCAATATAATTTGTATTATAGAGACATTAAAAGGGGTAAAAATAATTCTTTGGTGATTTAAATGGATTTATTATCGTCAAAAACCTCTTAATTTAAAAAAAAAATTTAAAATAATCTCTAAGGGGGTATATAGCTTTAAAATTTTGAAAAAATGAAAAAATTCTTTTTCGCTCTAATCAATAGAAAAACTATTCAAAAAATATAGTCCCGAAGTTTCATTGGTTTACTCCGAATATTTTCAAAGAAATATGCCCTAGAATCAATGCACTTCATGCTGCGGTCTATAAAATCGAAGAACTTCGAAGCTCGTTTTCACGGTTTTTCATTCGGCCGTCAAAATTGCGAATTATTTAACCGATTTACTTGAGCTTAGGCGCATTTTATAGACAGTTAGTGCCACTTTTTCAGACTCAAAAGTTGTTTTGCTCAAATGAGTGAAATTGAAATAAAAGTTTTTTTGAAAATCACGAAGTCGAATACATTGAGCCGATATATAAAAGCTGGAGCATCGTTACAATATATGCCTTACTTTGGATAAGATTATTTTGAAGAATAGAGCCATATTTCAATAAAAAAGAAACGTTAATTCAACTTTAGGTGAAAGAATTTTCAGTACAGACTTTTTCCCGGATTCACGGGGGTTTTGAATGTCAAAGCCACGGTATCCAACAAAATCGCTTTAAGACGAAATACTTTTCAACAATGGCGGATCTAAGGGGGGTTTTGACTGTTGAAGCCCACCCTACCCTAAAAAAATGAAGAGTTTATTAAAAATCCAGAAGCATTCTCAAAGGAATATCAATAATAAAAATATTTTGGCATTTTTTTCTCCTAGAAAGAAATTCTGTATCCTCCATTACTTATCCGCTTGTGTATTATTTCATTATTTCTATTTGAAAATGTTTCGGAAAGTTCAGGAATTTTAAAAATTATATATATATTATTTTCATTTTCACAAAATTCTGGTAAGTAACACCATTTAATCCAAACGGTCTGTATATTGTCATACGATAATAGTTAGAAGTCACAGCTCGTGAGAGCATTTCGCGACTAACTAGAAGGGTGATTTTTCACGAATTAAAAAAATATATTTATACATATATCTTCAAATAAAATTCAAAACAACGTATCATCAAATGAAAATCGAAAATCCATGGCCCTATAATAACCCATATATAACCATTTTATAATCAAAACTAAAATTTGGTTCAATATGAATGATTGATAACCAATTTAAAACGACTTTATTACCAAAATTGAAATTTTGTTTTTCGTTCGCCTGTAAACTTATGAAAAGTGATGTTATGTTATTTTGCATTTCAGGTGACGATATGTAATATTATTACACAGAAATTTAGATATTGGTTAGTTGCTTCGAAATAGGCCTCAGTTCCGGCGGATGTCTTTTTCACGAACATTTTTTTACGATCGGAGGACAGGAATAAGTCATGGGAACCAGATTTTGAGTTACCACATATATGCAGAAGCAATCCGAGGTCCAGTTGATGTAACTTTTCTAATATCTTCACTTACTTGCAATAAGTTTAATGTGCCCACTATGAGCTCTGTCCAAAACTCAAATGCCCTTTCGTCACTCAAAATGCTCTATATATCCGATAGCTAGTACGTGAATTTTGGAAGCAGCTCCATTCATTCTACTTAATATTCAATGGCTCCCTATCATAGCAATGTTTAAGGCAACAGTAAAGCGACTTTTTATTGGTGTTGACTATTGATGTTTGTATGGTACCTACATACTGATTTAACTTTAGCAAATATGCTATAAGTTAATTTGATCTTAGATATAAGGATCATGGGTTATTTATTGTCTCTATATTATTATATTTGTTTGAAATAATTAAAGCCTAGTTCAAATAAACCATCTTCTCACTTCAAAATATCAAAGAGCGTATTGCTTAGTGATTCCAAAAATATACACAACTTTGAGTACTTACACACATATTTGTATATACACATAGTATATACACATAGTATATATATATTTATATACTTTATATCTATTTATGCTTATCTAAATCCTATGCAACGCTCCAATTTATCTTTGTAGAAAACTCAGTATATTTGAAAGTGCTAAAAAGCTGGGGGCACAACTTCATTCAGGTACATCTGTATACACGTATCGGCACATCCGTGAACCAAACAGCTTAAGCCTTTTGGCACTAATTTCGACATACAGTAATCAAACTCTAAGTTTTTACGGTTATTTCGTGTTGGCAGCGCACAGAATTTTATTTGAGGAACAAGCTACGGTTTTATTGCCTCAAAGGTTTTCATTTCGTTTTTATGTGCGTGAGTTTAGGTTATTTTACAATTTTCTAAACAAATATTTTTGCTCAGCAAACTTTAATAATGYAAGTGTGTATGTATGTATGTATGTATATACGTCAGGAAAATATTTTTAGGAATATTTGTAGAGTTATTAAGGCCTTTTTATTACTCACCCAAAAATGTGGAACAAATATACTCCGATATTTGATTGCCAGATCTGCTCGACTCGCTGAAGTGTGATAATTCTTTATTGAGCATACGCTTGAACTGCACGTAGAAAATACAGAGAGAGAGAATGAGAGAGTAAGTCAGACAATTATTGATTAGAGGAGTTGGTATATTTAGCAGGAGATGGTGCAGGATATATTTTATATAATACTAACTTAAGATGATGATATATATATTTCTTATTTTATAAGCATCATTAGTAACAATTTAATGAAATAATAACTTATTGGGTCAGTTCGACTAACTGCTGCTATTAAAAATGCATTTTTTTTTGAAATTTTTTCAATATATTTGATGCTTTCTGGTATCAAAATTAAACTACTTCAAAAATATATATACATATATTCGGGTGATCCACATCTGTTTTATAATTGGCTTCTCTCAAGTAGAAATATGAAAAAAATTCGCACATAACTTAATTCAAAGCGGTCGCTGATTTTATTTTGGTTTAGCATTTAATTAATAAATTTTTTTATTACTCTGCATTTTATTGAATCACCTTAATCTATGTACATGTAAAGCAAACGAGTGTGGAAAAAAGATATTTAATATGTTTCTATAGGATTATAGTATCAAAAAGGTTTATATAAATTAGTTTATTTAGAGAGCACGTGAATTAGAATTTCGCTTTCCATTCTATTAGGGGCCATACTGTTTATCTCGCCTAATGATTTATAGCTAATTTCTAGAGAATTTTCATTGAGTATGATCACTTAGATCTGATAATATTAAATATTTATTTCGTGCATTGCAATGAAAATTAAAAAAGGATTTATTTGATTCCTGGAACTGAAGGAATGGCGGAGAAGTACAAAAGAAGGGGTTCAATGAGTTATTTGCCCAAAGAAACTGAAAATTTCAAAAAAAAATTGAGAAAATACGAGCATTATGTGAACTAGTGAGTGTCAAAAAAATGATTTTTTGCTCTGCATACTATATTGCTAAATAATTTTTAATTAAATGAAATCGATTCATATTTTCATACAAGGACTTGAGTTTGATCGGTCAGTTTATATAGCAGCCTTCTGAAGATTGTAGAGATGCTATGCGAAATTTCCTGATAATAGCTTGTATAAAAAATTTTCCTTACAGGGATTAGACTGAGACATTTTCACATGACATTTTCAGATACATTGAGGTTATGATGGAACGAATATGATTTCTAATAAAGTGTACTTATTTCAAGATAAAAATATTTTTATGGGCAGCCATAATTTTGTCAAATTTTGACTAGTAATGATAGAAGATCTTATTCATCTGTAGTAATTTTAAGTTCTTATTGTTTTTGAAATTTAAATTGTTTTTGCACAGAAAACACTTTTTCATTGCCAAACACGTTTTTTGAGATCCTCGAGAATCCAGCGAATTTAACTGGAGGACTTTATTTTTTCGTAATAATTTTCCTACCCACAGTTCTTATTTCATGAAAATAAACATTGTACAAATCAAAGAATAAATTATCTTGAGATTACATCTGATGTTGTGCGCATTAAAGTAACTTAAGGTATTTTCAAACTCGCCTACATTAACACAAATGAAATAAAGTAACTGAATATATATTTTTCCACTTAAAATGCTGCGAACTCACCTTGAGCGATGCCATGTCCGACACACTGCGATGTGTCTGTATGGTCTCCAGTTGGTCCAAACACCAGTCCAACTCCTCGATGGTGTCTGTGGCCAAACGTGTGTAGGATTCATCGCCTTGGACCAATTGAACGCCGGCTGTGGATGTACGTCCCACGCTGGACGATTGTGTTGGGCGCCTGGATCTTTTCGCATTAATTATTTGTTCCAAAAGACAAGAGACACACACACAAATACACATACAAACACACAAGCCGAGACACAAGCGTAGAAAGCACACGAGAGCGCATACAAAATTTTTCGCATGAAAAAGTTATGACAAAAAGAGCAGAATAAAAGAACGAAAACAAGGCGATAAAATAAACGAACGGACAAAGCAAGCAAAATAGTAAAAAATTATAATAAACACAACAATAACATTGCAAGCGCAGCAGCGACAACAACAACAATAACGACAATATAACAATAAACACAAATGAGTTGAAAGGAGCAGCAAATGGACAGCGAGTCAAACGGTACGCAGGACGAAAATGCAAAAGGTGTGAAAAAAATTTGTTGTTTTTGTTTTTGCCAAAGTGACAATGGCGGTATTTACAATTAGTTAGTTGGAGTAAAGTTCGTTAATTGTTTATATTTTTTTTTTAGAAAATTGATTTTTTTTAATTTAAGGTTTATTGTTGTTGTTGCAGTTGGTTATTTGTTATTTGTCGTTAATCCATAATTTTTTGGAAATATGATTTTTTCACAATTTTAATTTTGTTCGACCGTTACAAATAATTCAATAAAAATAATAATACTCATATTGAAATATATGATTTTCGAAAACGTGTACATGTTTATGTTTGTATGTGTAGAGCGAAAATACATATTTTTGGTTGACATCAAAATGCGGGAAGGACCAAACAGGAAGAGAAAGAGAAAAAGACAGAGAGAAAAAATACGTATATCAAAAAAACAAAGTAAACACTTGTTGTTTTTTTACTTTGGTGAACAACAATAATATTGGTTTAAAATTTAATTTATAAATATATATTTATTAAAATAGTTTTTATAAAAAGGGGTGTTTATATTAGTGACAATTATTTAATGTGTTTTCATAATTGGAATATACAATTAAGATAACGGTTTTTTTTTAGAGGTTTGTGTTTGAAGTTACGGCCATCCATACAAAGTGGGTAACATTTAAAAGAAATTTATTGCGGATATGAAAAATTTTTGAAAAAATTTAAAGTGGGATTTACACATAATATTTATCTTGGGACAAGTGTTGAATTTAAGCTGCAAAAGCTATGCGATGTTTTTGTGACAGTGGAGCGAAATGCGTTAGGTTGAAGCAAAAAAAAAAAAAAAAAGATTTTGGAATTTTGAGTCTTTAAGTTTTCAGAAGATTAAGAAAACCCGTTAATTTTGGTTGCACCGAAGCTATGATACTCTTCAAAAATACAAAAGATGCCATAGCTGTATGCTATAGTTATCCGATCTAAAAAATTTCTCAGAATTTTTTTTTATTCATTTAGATATTAATCCATGCCAAATTTTATAAAGATATCTCGCCAAATAAAAATTTACCATACAAGTGTTTCTAGGTGACCCTTCAGTTTATATGGCAGCTACATGTTACAGCGGCTCGATCTAAACAATTTCTTCGGATATTACATAATTGCCTCAGATAATAATCCAAGCTAAATTTCGTAAAGATATCCCATCAAATGAAAAAGTTTTGCATACAAGTGTTTCTAGTCGATCGGTCAGTTTGTATGGCATCTACATGCTATAGTAGTCTGATATCGTCAATTCCGACAAATGAACGAATTCCTGGCAAGGGAAGAACGCATGCAAAATTTCAGAGCGATATCTAAGAAGCGTCTCGTATATACAGACTGACGCTCAAACGGTCATTACTAAGTCGACTCAGCTCGTTACGTTGATCATTTAGAAACCTATTTTATTTCTAAAACAATATACTATTTTCCAAAATAATACATAAAATTAAACATTTAGAACACTTCTACCCAATTTATTGCTCCACTGCCACAAACACTTAAATTTCTCCCTAAATTCACTATTTACCAAATAACTGTTTCGATTTAACTGTTTTCTGCATACATTTCAAATAAATTCATTTAGAGCAACTGTCCGAGATTTATGACACATTTCAACATAGTTTAACTGGGGCTACGTTGCTACATACAACATTCTCTGTTAAGTTAAAAAATATTTTAATATATGCATTGTGAAAATATTCAAATCAGTTATTAGCATTATTATTTGGATGAACAAACACGAGGGGTTAGTAGAAAAAACTTTAATAAATTTTAGAAAAATTCTCTTTAAAAAACATTGATGCACTCAAATAGTAGAATAATAACAAATGGGTAAAATTTTGTGTGTGTGTGTGTGCTTTTTGTATGCTTTTAGGCGCACGCATACTTACTTGTTGGATGCTTGTACATTTGTCAGACTTAAGAGATTGTTGCGCACCGAACGTAAGCTGGCCAAAATTTGGGCAAATGGTGTCACAATAAGATCCTCACCATGACTGTAAATAAGGAGAAAAACAAAGTGTGTTAAAATTGAAGGAAAGGCAGGAGACTGGAATATAAAAAATAATATTATAATAGCTAATGGCAATATCGATGCTTACCATTTGATATATACAAAATTAACTACATACAAACATATTTAATTTACATATTTTTACAAAGCAGAAATGTTTGCTCAAGCTGCGCTAGCAATGGCATTAAGTTAACATAAATGTTCAAATTGCTAATGTAGGTTTCTAAACTAAATAAAGGTTTGAAGCGGAATATATATTTAAAGAAACTATTAATTTTTATAAATATTTCTACGTTACATTTTTTTACGATCTACGAAACCAATGTAGATTTTCAATCGTTTTCAAAGTATATTGAACTTATTTACCACATATACATTATTACATACATATACAAATTTTTTCATATTTATAAGCAGAAACATAAAAAATAAAATGTTCTCTGAAAACATATAAAGCAAAGCTCTTAAAAATCATTCAAAACTCTTAAAATGTTTACGCCACTATTTTTATACGCTCATATATAAGTATAAAATACAGTATATGCATATATATAAATTTATATTTGGATAGTAGGAAAAATAGCTATAAGCAAAAAATATTTTATATTAAGCGCTAATTTAACAATCATATATTCGAGTTGTAAATAATGTGAGCATATATATATGGACGTATATGTTTTTCCATAATTAATATTCTAAAACCCATGCATATATAATATATTAACACATACATATATTGTTTTTTGGTACTTTAAAGTTAACATTCATACTAAATATAGCTTTTTAATTATTTCATTTTCTTCACCTCATATATTAATGATTTATGTATAACATAGGTATATATTAGGGTGTTCGTTATTTCACGAGATTATTTTTTGGTGTTTGTTAACATCACTTGAAGTTTAAGTATTTGCCTTAAAAGAAATTATAACATGTAAACAAGCACTTTATTTTCAATGTAACACGGTACACCATGTCGTATGAGCAACACAACATTTATGAGGCACTTAGATTAGATAAGATTGATAGATGAGGAATGTACCGCGTACTTAGGTCAGTTGTGCCCTTATAAGGCACTTACATGAATGCTTGATCTATTGATGTCTAACGTAGAGCATAGCATTTAAAGGTGTACTGTTAGGGAAAAAAACGAATAAGAAAGTTTTTGGAGATCATAAAATTTTGCATTAGAGTATTTTATATTATAAAACATCTCTTGTGCATTTGTCCCGCATTGGAAAAACTACGCTGTAAGCACCTGGGGCCCCACGGTATGATCTTTTCTAAGAGGTATCGATAGTGAGTCTTTTGAAATTTGCGTCAAGCGTTTGACTACTTCTTAAGGACCTAGTAACTAAAGTGGGAAAGGACCAAAACTGGTCTATGCGTGCCTCATTTGCCGAAGAAACTAACTCCACTTAGCTCATAAGATACTGAATTCTTTGTATACTAACTTATTTATACATTTATATGACAGCAATTTTTGGTCTAATATTTATTGGCCTTTGGAAGTAATTTAATAGATAGATATTTGGCATTAAGTTTTCCGCCAATTATAGTAATGGCAATAATCAAAAATAAATTTTGAAAAATTATATATTAATTGATTTAGATTATGGTTCCAAGAACTGACAATTTCAAGAAAATCCGGTGGGCTTACTGTTGAAAAAAAACCCTACTTCTCGATTTTGAACCAGGAAAATATATAAAACGGTAAGAAGATGAAGCTTTCGGAACAAAATATTTCTTTCAAATTATTCAACACTGTGTCGTATTATTTTCACTTAGATATTCCTTATGTATAAAAATTTCTTTATTGTTATTAAGCGGCACACCTCGAGTGACAGTTTAAAAAAACGTCGATTTTTGGGAATATAAAAATATTGTACCCATTCCTATTAAATTTTCGAAGTATGTATATTTTGTACGTGTTTCAATAATATACAGTGGAGTTCAAAAAACTAAATAAATTTTTGATTAAAAATAAATATTTTTAATTAGAAAAATAAAATTTT